CACTAGTAGTGAGGAAAAAGGAAGTGGGTGGTTTTGTGCAGCTACCAAGAAGAGAGAGTGGATGTGGTTGTGCTGGTCTGAGTTGTTATGTTGAATGAAAAGGTTTGAGTGAAGTCCTTTTCAGAAAACTTCAGCTGTACTTAATAATACTTCAGGCATATCACCTTGTAGCACTGTCTTTTGTTAACCTTGAGATGATATGTCTTTGCAAGATATTATTTGGCCTTCATCAGCCAGTTGTGCAGGTTGGTGAATTGGAAAAATGTATATACTGCAAAAGTTATAAAAAGGAGAGAATGTGGCAGTGTCTCACCATTTTAATAGCATGTTCCATGTTCTTCAGTAACTGAGGCTTAAAAGTCATATTCATGGTAGTTTGCATCTTTCTGTAGTGAAACTTACGTAATGGCTTTGGGTTTATGTTTACCAATCTTTTTGTTCCAAAAACCTTAAAATAAAATTTACCCTTGACATGGTGAAATGTCTGTTTTGCCTATTAGGTGTGTTAATACTCATCAAAGAGATACTTGATTTTTGTCTTGATAACCTTTTTAAACCTTTCTCTTTGCTTTTTAAGCTTGCAAATAAGGAAGTCATCTATTAAATTAGCCTTGCACTTACGGAAGTGTATCAGTCCAGATTCTGTTCCCATCACAAATTATGAGTATAATTTTAAATTTGTCCCTTAAATTAGTCACATATAACTGGCATGAACCATGTCACACAGTCTGTGTCTAGCTGTTCCCTGGGATTTTTGTGGATAAGCATGACAGATTACAAAGGGGGCAATTTCTTCTGTCTGCTCTCTTAAAGTAGTTTTCTGTCTTTCTGAACAAGATGTCTTTCCAAGCTACATCCATTTATTTAACCTCCCAGAGTCTGTGGAACTGGGATGGAGTTGTGGGTCCAATGCTGTTGGGACTGGACATGCACCTCTGTCTCTACTGGAGTCTTCTGCTGGGGGAGCTGGTAAATGGAGAAGCATGCTGCCCCGCAGACCTTTTTGGAGTCTGCAGGATTGCTGGGAGTTGGGCCCTTGCTTGAGCAAAACCAGACTTTTTGGAACATAGATTAGTATTATTGCAGAGGGGGGTAGCTGTTATTGTTGTGCAGCATCAGTTTTGATGGGAATGTTGGCTTTAAAAAGCAAAACCAAAACAAAAACCCAGTGACCCCATGGTTCTAGATGTCCCATGATTGCACTTGACCTCAGCCATCAAAATGTGTTGTGAGTGGCAGTCGGAGACATCTGCACCTTTCCCAAACTGACAGCAAGTATGAATGTGGTGTGAGGAGATCCAAGCTGGAGATTGTGCAGATGTTGGTGTCAGTCAGCAAATATACACAGGATTTAAATCACGTTTTCTGTGGGGAGGACGTTACAGTGTTCCTGGTAAAGCTTGTAAAACTGCTGCGTGGGATAGACAGCAACATGTAATATTTGATCTTCCACAGCCCGCAGTGGAGCTGATCTCACATCAGCAATTTCTTTGGCTTTATGGCTTTTTAATTCTTCTTCAAGCAACATTGTGGTTCTCCTTTTGCCTGAATTCTTCTCTTAAAACTGGCAAAGGACAGCTGTGGCTGCTGGGTGGTGATTGTGGTTTAATGTAGTTTACAGGCTAGGATGTGACTTGAAGGAGGAAAAAAAAAGGGGGGGGGGGGGCAGAAAAACTACTCAGTGTGCAGAAAGGCTCATCTCCTTCAAGCACTGGATGCATAGTTTTGTAAAAACAAGGAGTCCTTGAATACTGCAGCTGGGATGGAGTGAAAGGGTGCGTGCCGGCCCTCACCGGGGCCAGTGGGTTTGGGGCACAGTCAACTGGCTGCAGACTTACGGGAGAAATGAGAGTTGCAATCCTACCCGAGTCCTTCTGGGTTCCCCAGTGCAGTCAAATGGCTCTGGCTGGTTTTGTTGTGGTTCTGGCACTGAAAACAATTTTTCTGTTTGTGTCCTGAAGTCTGTGATTTTACTGTCTAGAGCAAATGATTCACCATGTATTTGATAAGGGTGTTGCAAGTCCATTTGTGGGCAGCAGTTTTGTTTCCTCATTGCACGTTTTACTGCTGGTGAAAGTGTCATTCAGTTTTTCAGTCTTTAGGGTGCAGCAGGATAGCAGAGCAGAGATTAAAGATGCCTGAAAACCCATGCTCTTCATGGAGTGTCTCCAGCAGGAGCATGGGCTTCCTAGCATGTCCTAACTTAGTGGCCTTGGGAGTAAACTGCTAGCCAAAGATGAAAGCAATCCTTGAGCATCCCCAATACCTTATGTTCTGTTTCTCTAGAGCTTCACATGTCTTGGAACCATGCACTTAAACGTTGTGTCTTAAAAAGACAGACAAATGGAGGTCCTTGATGCAGACTTCTGCAGTACTTGTTCAATGTCATGTGTTTGCTTTCTTTTAAATTTTGTGCCATGAAGATGAAAGTGTTTTTTACTAAGCCACCGGACCTATGAAGAACAGCAGTCACTGAACAGTGCTCTGTTATTATGTTAGTACCCTAACAGGGTTGCAGTAAATCCTCCTGACAATTGCACTATAAATACTAATTGTATGGCAACCTGCATCAGTTTCAAAGCCTCTTCAGGTTTATCTGAAAGACCTTCAGGAAGGGGGTATGAGTTGTTTGACAAGGGTAAGTGAGGTCCAAACTGGCTGCTGCAGATACTCTCTGATTCTCAGGTTAATCGAATTCCGCTTTTGTCATCAGTTATCTCCTCGTACAACTGAAGTGTCTGGAATGGGAGAAACAAACTGATTTTGATTTGTTGCAATTGATCCATGGTAGAGGGAGTTTTTAAGTACTCTGTCCAGGTGGGATCCTGATTCCTTATCTGTTCTGTGGGAAGGGTTTTTACTGTGGTGTTCTCATGGGATATCTCAGGAGCTTTCTGAAGCAATCTGAAGTTGAACGCTCCTTTTTTCTACAGCAAGATGCAAGTTTCTGTGTCTGCTGTTCACCACTTATTAAATTAAGAAGTAAATTAGGTGGTTGAGCTACCAGCTTAAGCCTGCTGGGAGGAAAAAGAGGAAAAGAGGGATCCCTTTTTGGCACTGTGAGTTATGAAGCTTCCTGATCTCTTTCCACGTGGTAGAATTTCACTGCTGTTAGCTCTCCCTCTCCCTTCTCCTGCCTGCTGTGGGGTGCTTCTGCAAGTCTGACAAAATCCCAGCCCCTTACTTTCATTCGTGTGATTCATCTGGTCATGCCTCAGTTTCCCTTTGTCTTGGGGTGAGTAAGGTCAGAAGCCGCTAATTCGTGCATGATTTTCTAAAGAAAAGTAGTATCTTTGTCAGATGAGTACTGCCTCAATGAGAACTTTATATAGACACAGACAAATAGGGTTGCAGGGAAAAGAGATTCCTCATGTCCTGTATTCCCCCCAATATAAATAGTGCAACATATGGGAAACAGATGAGTGACCTTTCTGTGAGAGTGTGAAGGATGACGCTTTTCGACTTAAGGTGTTTGCTTGCTTTGCTGTTTACTTTGTTCTGGGAAGGCACTGTAGCTCACTGCCCTCTTCCTTTCACACAAGGAACATCTTCCTGGCCTTTCCCTTTCAGCAATTATGCCAATAGCTGGACGGTTCCATTGAATCTCTTGTTTATAGGCAAGAAGATGTTCTTGGATGCTCTTTGCTCCTTGTAACTACTCAGCTCTTTGGTTGTTTTTAATTTCAGTTTCCTTTAATGATACCAGTAAGGAACAGATGTGTAAATGGCAGGTACTTTCAAAACACGTACCTCGCTAGTAGATGAGAAGCAGATGTGCTGAAGTGGGGTGGTGCTACCCATGGCCAGAAGCAGCCCAGGTCCTGCTGTGCAGCACCCCTGCCACTCCTGCTGCCAGTGGTGCCAGATGGAGGGCACTGCTGCCACATCCTCTCCCACCACCCACAGCCTGGGCGGGGGGACTCTGTCAGGGTGGCATTGCCACTCGCCCTGGCTGTGTGGTTACCCTCACCTACACAAGCCTGGGGAACAGGAGGCATTTGCTGTGCTATTTCCTCACCCAGCAGTACCTATGCTGCCGATGCTTGGTGTTGTGTGCAGGGGAGTGTCCTGCCGGGAGCTGCTAAGTGGGGTTTTACTGCTACCAGATTTACATGTTTGCCCAAGCTGCAATGTCTGCTGTTACATAACTGGCAAATATTAGGATTACTTTTGCTTTGTACTCTTCCTCAGAGCTCGGTTGTGCCTGGGCTCATGAGCCTGTCTGAAGGCAGGTGCAGGCACTGCTGTGGCTGTTTCCCGGGCCACTTTGGGTGCGGTTGGTGGGGTGCCAGGGAGCTGGCCTCCCTTCAGAGTCCTCACCGTCCTTGTCTTGATGGCAGCCCTGGCCCGGACCTGGTGGTCATGGGGTGGTCACTGCCTGGGCTCCAGTGAAACGGGTCAGGAAGATACGGGGGTAGTCTCTTGATCCAGATCATCTGCAGGCTTTTCCAGAAGTCACCATGTTACTGCTACCCAGTGGTATGTTCAAGGTTTTATTCTGAAATGCACAATTTACAATTGTATTGCTTTTTCTATTTTTTTAATGGCAGTTGATGTTCCCCTGAGTCTGAGAGCTGGCATTTGAGGGCCTGGTGCTTGATCCCTCCACTTAAAACCACATTTATTTTGCCTTCTCTAAGCTGCTTTTTCTGCTGAGTGCACATGGCTGCGTAGAATAACGCTGGTCATGAAACAAGAGGAATCCTGCCACTCAAGGAGCACCATTGTTTAATGACCTCTGTTTCCTTTTCCTTCTTTCTCATCCTTCTTAGAATATATCTTCTACTAAAGACTTGAAAACAGCAGGCTTTATAGATGTGCATTATTAACTGCTCTTCTGATGGGGCTTTTAATTCTTAAAAGCATTTTCTCATTAAGGGACTTACATGAAATTTATAGAACTGTTGGTCAGCAAATATTTGATGAGTGCATCTGTTTGTCTCGTGTCGGTTGGTTAAAAACAAGACAAACTGATGGTGCTTCCCCTTCTTTTGTTGCAGCAAACCTTCCCCAGTGATGTCCACTCCATTGAAGAAATTTTGAAGGTAGGTGCTCTTAAACAATAGAGCTCTGTGTTTGTTTATATTTTGCATGCATTAAAGCAGTGTGTGGGGAAGAAATATCACTCTACTTCTGTCAGCAGACGTTCCAGTCACTGAAAGGGTTTATTGGGGCATGCTATGGAGAGGTAAAGTTAAAAGTTAGCCTTGGGTACAGCTGGAGTTGTAAGACCAGTCTTTCTATCAGTATGTAAGTGTAATAATAGTCTGGTGAGGTCAGAGAGCAAGACTGACATGCCATCCAAAACAGCCAGAGCTGCTCCTTCATGAGGTTAGGGAGTTGCCATTACTGAGTACTCTTCCCCCAAAGGCAGTGTCCGTGCTGCCTCGTGTCCGTGCTGCCTCGTGTCCGTGCTGCCTCGTGTCCGTGCTGCCTCCCCCAGCAGCGTGGCCCTGAATAGGAGCAGGCACCTGCGCCCTTCCCACCCGCCTGCGCACGGCACTGCTGATGAGCTGCTCCTCCTTCGCTGTCTTTCTAATCCATTCGTGCAAAGCTGAGCCAGCTCTGATGCAAAACTGTCTCTGTTACCTTGTGTTAGAGCTGGCTCTGGAAGCAGCGCACAGGGGTCCCAGTAGTTGGGCCTGCATACGTGTCACCCATTCACTGTGCATGGTGTGAGAATGCTCTGTGATCTGCAAGCTGGTCATGCTGACACTGAGAAGATAGTTCCTTAATGTCAAATACTATTCTGAGATGATGAAGTCCTAACTGAGGTGTGTGTGTGTGTTTTCTGTGATTCACTTCCCTCACAGTTGCTTCAGGTTGAAAAATCTCGATGCCTTTGTTGCTATCAAGAAGTTGTTACTGGGGCAGTGGTTTAGCTGACAGGTAGTTGTACACAGGTGCTCACTAGCTCTCATGTGCTGGTTATGTTGCGGTATTCTGTGTTTCATGTGATACCCTGTTTTCTTGCCTGTTAGTAATGCATAATAGTATTTTTGTAGCAGCCACAGGGAAGCACGTACTGATACAGAAGAGGTGTAGTGCGGTGTATTGAGGAGTGTATCATCTACTGAAAGATTGCACAGCTAGTGAGTGAAGTGGGCAATGAACTGAGCAGCGGGAGGGGAGAAAGAGGAAGGCAAGGGTGGTAACGATGCAAACAGTTACCCAGGTTAGTTGTAGGCTGCTTCTAGATCTTGCACAGAAGCCCCATAGATCGCTCACATCCCTGCTTCTAGAGGCAAAGGTATCCATGTGGTTCCATTCCCTGTAAATCTTTGCATTTCCTGTTATTCCTAATAGGTACAGAAACCAGGGCCACTTCTGAACTTCCATACCTGTGCCTTGATGAAAAAATGGCACTTGTAAATTATGACGTGGTAGAGATTTTCACACTTCAGTCTGTCTGCTGCCAAAAGTACAAAAATGTACTTTGCACTGACACATTCCTCACTGATTTCTTTTAAGCCCCTGAGCAAACTGTGTGTGGTGCATGCTTGTCATGAGATGCATTCGGCATGAACATAATTCCCGACTTTCTGAGCTGCGCCAAGTGCCGGTATTGTGTTACTCTGCCTGCGGCTTTCTTTGGGAAGTTGGCAGGGAATGGTTGTGATGACAGCCCCTCCGGGTGGGGATGGTGGGTGCACACTCAGTACAGAGGTGGTCTTGGGCTGGGGGGAAAGTCCTGGGATAACTATTCCTGGGTGAGGGTGGCAGGCCATGCAAATTCTCTTCTTGGAGCAGCTATATTCTGCTCTTCAGATTTTAAAACTTGGGGATCAGGAGCCAAGAAAAGTCTGTCGTGCAGTTCTGGAAAAGTGGTTCTGAAATTCTGAGCCCAAACTTCCCCAAAGGGCTTGTGTATATTAACCCCCCTTTAAAGTCTTTTCGCGTATGTTCAAGACAAAGATCCTTGCCTATGCTAGGCTTTTTGTGTGTGTTTTTTGCACTGCAAAAAAAGGCTTTAGCACATTCGTCTAGGCCCACCTGTAGAGCTAGAGGAGGCAGGCTGGAGGTTGATCTTGCCTGCTGAGCCCTGTCCCGTGGCTGTGGGGTTCATGCTCTGCTTTCATCCGGACCGTGGCTGAGCCCAAGAAGCTGCTACCTGGTAGTGATGATGGGTGAGAGTAAGGACAGGGGAACAGGACAGAAGGATTCCTAAAGCCATAGCTCATAGGGCAGTCTGTTTCTTTGGTTTGAAACTAAGTCCCAGAGCTGTAGGTCAAAGACATCTTGGTTGGTCAGAGCAAAAGCTGATGTTCTGGGCAGAACAGCACAGGGAACGGCTGGCAGTCAGAGCTCTCTGGCTGACCTCCTCGAGTTACGAAAAGCCTTTTGTGGTGCTGTTGCTGTAAGGGGATATAAGAACTTCTGTAACGGAAAACTCCTGTGCTTTGCAAAACCCCAGGACTACTCATATATGGCTTTTAATTACTTTTCCCTTTAACTGTGATAGCTGTAAGGCTGAGGCCTAATCCTGCAAACACAGTAAGTACTTAACTCTTTATGAGCTTCACTGAGATTGCCATTACTCAGGCAGTGGAAATATGCTTGCAGAGAAGGAACAAGTCCTCACCATGGTCTGGCTGCTGCACTCAAAGGAGGGCTTCTTGTTGCAGTACTCTCTCTTGGGTTTACAACTGGATCGACAAGGACTTCTTTGGCAGATCCATATGAATCTCTTAAGCGTGAAACTTCACCTGTGTGTATCGGCAAAAATATTGTAAGCCGCTTCTCTCAATCTCTTTCCAGGAAATGACCCGCTCATGGCCACCTCCCCTGACAGGTATTCATACGCCTAGTACAGCAGAGCCTTCCAAATTTCCTTTCCCAACAGAGGTAAAACACGCTCGTTTTGCCAGGGCTTTTGATAAACTAGAAGAGAGCTTTCTGGCTCTTGCATGTGGCTTCATCTTAATTTTATCCCCCTTCACAGATAAAGGCTGTTAGGAAAGGTTATCTTTAGACAAAGTCAGATAAATTAAAGCACAGTGGATCTCAAGTTGGATTAATGGCTGCTTGCAACGCATTGCTTTACTGAGAATTGGATCAGATTGTGCTTCTGAGTAATCATTTTTGAGTGGGCTATATGGTAGCCTAATTATCTTTCCTCTTTTTTTTTTTTTATTTTTAAAGCAAGCTTTATATTTTTACAGTTGTAAGATGTTTGAGCCGAGGGGGTGTGTGTATGTGTGTGTGAATGAGTAATGTTTCAGTGACTTGCATATTTGTTATAATCGTGGGCTTCAAATGTGGCTGCTTTTCAGAAACATTTTAAGCATCTCATCTCTGTTGCAGCACAAACAATGCTTGTCAACAAAATATTTGCTGTGTTAAACCAGAATTTGGCAGCTCTTACAAAATTTTTTGAAATACTTCTTCAAAAATGCACATACCACTAATGTGCTGGCAACACCTTTTTGGTGGCAGTAGCAGGCACCATTTCTGTCCATGCTAAGCTACATCAGGACAGCTTAGACTATTGGACACTTCAGAGTCATGCTTTGACAAGTTAGTCAAAGTATTCCTTACAGTAAGTAACACATGGAAAACAAATTATTGCTATGCTGCTCTGAAGAGAGAGCTGATTTATTTTATTCTTAAATTGTACTTTGTCCTTCCTTTCTAGGAATCACAGCCTGTTGGATCTGTAGCACAGAATCAGAGTAAGTAGAAATCCAAGGGAAACACGCTCTAATCTGTGTATGGACAGACAGTTCTGTGTTGTGTGCTATATGTTGAGGAGAACATCAAGGGTTTATGTTAAGGAGCACAATTTCCTGTGCTGCTTTGAGCAGTGATGAATTTAGAAAATGCTTTAACAGATCGTATACAGTCATAACTTAGAAATTAAGGCAGCAGTTTGGCAGAGAACAGACAGTATTTCATTAGGAAACCCCATTTGAAGTGATGAATAATCTCAATGGCAAATAAGTACATAATGGAAGAAAGTGAATTTCTAATCTGATGTTCAGAGACCACAGGATAAAATACTATATAAGTAAGGGAAATAAAACCAACCGATTCATTTTTGATTTACAGAACAGTATGATGCACCTGCAAAAACATTGCCTAGTTCTCAACCAAGAACATCGTAAGTAACCAGACTCAGTTCCCTTCTCTACTGTGCAGTTACTTAAAAGAATCAGGAATGAATTAAAATTTGCTTTACTTGATGATTCTGAAGATGAAGGTTTTCGCAGTCTGATTTTTCTCAGAGTGTTTCAATGCAGGGAATTTGCACCACCAGAAACGTTATGTTTTGTGATTATGGCAACTGTGCTAAAAACAGAACAAAACTGAAGAAAAAAAAACCCAACTATTAATGTACCAGATTGAAGGGGCTTTTTTCTCTTTTAATCTGTGGCTACTTAACATCTTGTCACATGTAGTGCTATTCAAACTACTAATAATGCATTCAACTGATGTAAATTCTAAGGAATACAAACTGAATCTGATTTATTCTGCATATCTTTTTGAAGCCTGTGAGGGCTAGTGAAGCTACAGCTATGGAAACTGTGAAAACTAGGGGTGAAATTTTAAACCAGTCATATGCTATAACTTTCTGCAGTTGCCCAAGGAAAAGTTTTCTAAAAAGTGTTGTCTAAAAAACAAAAAAGAACTTTTCATGTGGACTTTCTAAAAAACCCCAATTTATATTCTGATAACGTTATCTAGTTGCGAAGTGGGGTGAAGAAATTTCTATAGCTTCTTTTAATAAAGTGTGTGTATATATATTTCTACTTTATATATTTCTTCTTTTCCCTGTTGTGTTACGTTTTCTCTCAGAAGAAAGCCTCTTAGAATTTGAGTCTCTGTGTAAGATGTTGATGTACAATCGCTACAGAAGTTTTACAAGGCTAGGAAGGAGTGCCAAACAATAAATGAATCGCTTCAGTAGAAAATTTTTAATTGGTGGATAAAATAACTTGATACTGTCCTTGTAGGTGAAAGTGATTATCTACTAATGAGGTTAATGACAGAAATTGCTTTAAAGTAGCTTTGTGGGGACTGACATGTGTCTTTCAGGATTAACCTGGCCAGATGGCAGCATTGGGATGTTCTGGGCCCCGAGTAACAAATACAAGTCTTTCCATGTCTGGAAGGCCATGTACAAGGCAATTGCCAAACCATTAAATGCCTCTCTGTTCATTTGAAATACAAAAATCTCATCTTACCCCATGATGTGTTGTTTCATGGAAGGCTGCAAACTACAGACTACAAAGTGTGCTCCACTTGTTTTCCTTATCATCAACAATTTAATTAAAAAAAAAAAATCAACCCAAAACTGAACTAGTTATGAGTAAGAGGAAGAATATATCTCCATCTTGGTTGAGACTGTAGAATTTTGTGTTCAAGCTCTGTAAGACTTATAAAACAACCCTTTTCATACTGTTCCAGCATCATGCAGAGGAGCTCTCACTGGCTGGGTGTGTGGGATAGTGTCTTGCTGAACAGGCAGCTACTCCCTTAATCCATTCTTTATTTTCACTCTCCTTCTTCCATGCCAGCTTGCTCCTCCTGAACAATTTCTGGAAATTTTCATTGCACTATTAAAAATTCTAATTTCAACTGCTCCAGCCTCTGTCTTCCTCCTCAGCTCCCCTACAGCCATTATCTTTATTTCAACTCTTCTCAGCTGCTTGTCAGAATCCCTCTAGCACTTTAGTCAGTTTTCCAGGTGGCAGAGAAGAGACTCTTACTGTTGGCAAAAATCTGAAAGTACTCCTTTCTTAGCCCAAAGGTCTGGAATTGTAAATTTGGCACAATATGTAGCTCTGTCCTTAGCCAACACCCTCTCTCTGCTCGGCGTCCTTGCGGGCACTTGAGGGCCATGTCCCGTCTGTCCGAGACATGTGTACCCATAGTCAGCGAAGGAAGGCAGTTGAAGCAGGAGGAACAGGGTGGCTTAGGTTTCTGTCTAAAATGGAATCAAGTGAGATTTGCCCAAGGACTTCCTCTACATCCTTCCCTTGCATTGCTTCTTTTTTTTTTTTTTTCCTCTTGTTTTTGTTTTTATTTTCACAACAGGGCTTGCTTTCTCTGCAGTTGAATGTGCACGTGACTGACTGAAAATTCAGCTGCCTAGAGGAGCTTGCATTACAAAACGTAGCTGGCTGAAAACAAACAGCGTTTGTGCTGCTTAATTAGAAGTTGAAATCCCAGTGCATCTGTGTGCCCGAATTAAGCATTCAGCTTTACAGAGCGTGCAAGGGTTTCCCAGATGGCTTTCATTCTTGAATACAGTACCAAAGTTAGCACCTGGCTGTGCTGGAATGGAAGTAGTCCTTCTTTCAAAAGGGGACATGCCAAGCTCATTCTCAGTGATGCATCCTTAACACGGCTGGCAGAGGGGCCAGCCTGTTCCTTCATTGGGGTGGTTTGGCAAGCAATATTAATTTTAGTGCTGCTTCTCTTGCTAAAAGAGCTCTTTTAAAGTAGCTTTACAGGGAGATTGAGGATGTGTATATAAGCTGAAAATTAACAGGTCCTGCAAATGAAAACTTGGCATCTATTAACTCCTGAGCTAATTAAAGCATTAAAATTATTAAAGGAGATTTATTGTCTTTTAACTAGGCTATTTAACAATTTGCTGAAACCCTGTTTGGGGTAAACTGGCTTTGTCTTTCTTGGCAGAAGTTTGCCTCATTTAAAGTTTTACTGTTCTTCCTTCATCCAAATAGAACCTCAGTAGTTGCAATGTTCTTTTATGGTGTTGCATTTTATTTTCCAGCAAGCTCAGGAAAAAAAAAAGGCAGTCCTTGTTATTACAAACAGTTAAATCAGATTTAAAAGAAGATCTAGGTAGTGTTTCCTTGCAGTATCCTCTTACCTCTAAAGCAAATACATCTGTAGGCCACAATTCTTAGAGCAAAACAGGAACAAAAAACCCAAACCACTTTCAGAACTTTTTAGCATCCCTGGTAGTTTGTTCATTTTCACTTTTGGTGGACTATTTTCCCTAATGGGTTGGAAAAAACCCTAATTAGTTGAGATGCCAGTAGACGTTTGGCGAAACTGCCCAGAAGTGTGGAGAGTGGCTGTATCGTTGCTGTTCTTTTTTCCTTTCTGTATCTCAGTGGACTGGCCATGACCTTCAGCTCTAGCCCACCTGTAGAGTTGGGGCGTGCAGGATGGCTGCACAGTGCGTGCCATTTGCCTTCTGTAGGATATTCAGTGGCCCTGTTTTGCCAGGTGGTTTCTCATAGCATTTCCTTTCAGTGTTTACTCTAAAAGAAGAGGCAAGAGGTGATTTCCACCAAGAAGGTGTGTAAGCAAATGAGGGAATGGAGGCTGGGAGATTGAGAACGATAGTCGCAGGGGAAGGGCGAAATCAAAATGGCCAAACAAAGCAAGCACGTAGGTCTTTGTGAGCATAATCAGACAGAGGCTGATGCACTGAGAGCCTCTTCTCAATCATCGAGAGGTACTTGGGGGACTGTGGGGTTAGTACCTCTGCAGGAGGTGTAATCCATTCAGGAGGGGCTGGCTCTGTACTGGTAGGCACAGGAGACTTTTAGAGATTCTTCATGTTGTCCTGCTCTGTGGGCAAGAGCAGATTAGTCATTTCTGGCTTGTGGCATTGTTCATTGGGAGACCATGGCCAGATTTGGCAGCAAACATGGTCTTATTTCAATGCAAGTATGTCTGTGCGTGTTAACTGCTTTGGTATTAGTGTAAAATAACTTGTCTACTTAGTGGGGATAGTGTTTAAATAAGGGAATCACTTTTTTATTCAAGGTTTTTACTCCTCAGATTGCTCAGGCTCATTAGAGGTGACCCACAGAGCTGTAAATCTTTTTTCATTTTACTCCTAATTTGACATGATGGCTTGAAAGAGTGTGAAGGTTTGTGTAGTTTTCCGTTTCCTAACAAGCATCAGGAACACAAACCTCCCACCCTTTTCCAGGTGATGTGATTCACTGGGGATCTTTCCTATTTGTTTTTCTTGCTATAAGATGTGTTGTCATGAGGGCTTGGAGCCTTATTTTGCTTATTTGGGCATAAAAAAATTTTCTCACAGGGAGCCCTTAGTTTCAAAGGAGGTTGAAATAAGCAGGAGTTTTGACCTGATAGATTAAAATCCCTGTCTCTGTTCCCAAATTTTCTATCCTGTTTTCAGAATGACACTTGTATAATTCTCTGGGTTGAGGAGTTGGTCTCCAGCCAGTTTCAAGATGTGAAATCACTATACTTTAGAATAGCGAGAGTTTTGCCTGTCTGTTTTCCAGCTCCTTTTGGGATACCCGCATGATTGCCCAAGAGGGTGATGACAATTTGGGAGAACTTTGCGTCCCTCCCCACAAATCCTTCCCTCCAGCCTTTTGAGGACCTCGGTAATGCATTGAAATTGCAAGCAGTAGTTACCACTTGCAGGCAGAGGAGTAAATTATGCTTTTGGAAGCTTGTAGAGGCAGCCTTCTCTCTTCTCTAGCAATAGTAAAAGAGGGTTTGTGCCTCCCTGCTTGTAAACTGCTTGGAGAACTGCTCAGTGTTACGGTTACTGCTGAGGTGTGCAGGAGCACGAAGTTCATTGTGTAGAGAAGAGATAGGAGACAGGCTTGACCTTGGCATTTACTTATGTTTGTGTGACAGGAGACTTCAGTAGAAAAAAGAGAGCCCCAGTGACAAAAGAAATATTCACTGCCCCTGAGAGCAGAGAACATGAGTATGCCCAGCTTCTGGTGCAGAGACAATGCTTTCTGCCCCTTGGGGAGCCCGTGGGGGCTAACAGCATGCTGGTCTCTTGCTCTACAAGGGCCAGACTTCTTCCAGCCCACCCTGCTGTGTTAGTGTGCCAGTTAACCTTTGTTGGCTGTGTTGTGAGTGTGCTAGGTAACCTGTGCTGAGGAGCAGTCCCCTCACAGGACTTTGTTGTCTGTAGATGGCAGCCAGGGACACTGACCTCCATTGCAAAACATCCTGAGATCAATTGGAAAGCCCAGTGACATGTCCAGGTTGTGTGTTCTCATTTTGTCACTCATTTTAGGTAACAACAGGGTTTAGTAGATAGAGTATGCTGAACGTTCAAAAAGGATGTGGGAGGTTGATTCATTTTGGCAAGCGCAAACTAAGTCTTTTTCAGCGTCTGCTGCTTGAAACTGTGTCTACCTTGGCTGATATTTATCTTCTGGTTGTCTTTCAGAACGCTCCAGGACGACCTGCAGCTCAGTGATAGCGAAGAGAGTGGTGACGACCAAGTCAGTTTTAGATGTTCTATACACTAGGAACACAGACATCCCTTTAAATCATCACGACTTGTGGCATTGTTTTGAGTTCCTTAAGCTAACCTTTCTTCCCCCTCTCCTCTTTGTTTTTGTGAACAAAACAGGTTGCTGAAAAGCCACCTTCTTCACTTGCTCCTCCAAGGTACAGGTTTGTTCCCAAACTACTAGCTAGACCAAATAAGGAGAAAAACAAAACTACTTTTTATATATGGGGTAGATGGGTAAAGGTTCCTATTTTTTCTTGTTAGAAACCAAAGCCTGTATCTAACTGCCTGAAGCTGCTGTTGAAAACTAGCTTTCGTTATGTGGGGTTTTACCAAAAGCTCCAATCAGAAATTAATAATCCAGGCATGCTGGGTTTGGCCTAGGAACCGGAATCGTATTTCTCCAACGGTTCCCTCCTTTTCTGCTCTTTCCCTCCACAAGTGTATATGCAGATCACACTGGAGCTGATGGGATTTTCAGTTGTTGTAGTGATGGGTGGGTGTGAGTCCAGTTTTAGTTCAGAAGGAAGTGCAAAACAGCCAAGTGGGTGAAGGTTGGTTAGCCTCCCTGAGGTTATTTCAGCTGATTGTAAGCAGTTCCTGCCATGTATTGCTAGTCAGAAGCAATATTCAAGGTAGACTGCACAGCCACATGCTGACATTAGAAGAAGAAAGGTGATGAAGCAGCCTGTAACATTTCCTATAGGAGAGCACTGACATACATTTTTGGCTTGATATCTATAATCTTCAAGCAGAGGGTCTACAAAGTCAGGCTTGCAGGACACACCAGTTCTTCGCATGAACTTCATTCATCCCTGCAAACTTTTGAAATAGAGTGTTCTCATGATATCAGTCCCGATCAGCGAGGAACCTGCCTCCAAATCATGCAAATGTATTGATACTGATGTCAGAAACATTTTTCGAAGTTAAAAAATTAACATTTTGATTTCATAAGTCCATTTCAAAGTGCAAAGAAGTTGTGCATAAGAGTCATGGCTCTCCTTCAGTTCCATCCCCTCCCATTGTTGGGGCTGGAGGAAAACATTTTTGAGTTGGGGAGGGTGTTGCAAAAAGTGCTGCTGCTTGACATGGCTGTTAATAAAACAGTTAAAGCACCTTGACCAAGTAACAGACGAAGAAGCGAAAAGGGGGAGAATACAGAAAGAGAAACCATCCTGGGATCTATGTTTCTGTCTTGTTAGCCTTTATTGGCAATTTTTCTTTTGAGGGTTGGGGCTTTCAGAAAAGGACTTGACAGTTTCCGTTATTTTTTTAAACTCTGGTTGGCTAAATGCAGCTTCATATTGCAGCAGTGATGTCCTGCTGAGGTATTTGTCTGGTTGGATTTCCAGAGGTTTTTCTTATTCCAGTGCTTTATCTTCTGAGTATGGCAATGTATTCCTTTGGCCTTCTCCCCTCTCTTCTCAGTGCCAAAACATGAGGTTTCAGTTTTATTTCTGAATCCTGCCATGTCAATAGAATAAGTAACCAACCTTCACCCGTGGTGCTTTCTAATTTTAGCTCATGGTGGCCTTGCAGTGCCCTACAGTCCCAGACCAAGAGCGTGGCATCAGCACATTCCAGCAGCCCAGAGTCAGGGAGCACCAGTGACTCAGACAGCTCTTCAGACTCGGAGACGGAGAGCAACTCCAGTGACAGTGAAGCAAAAGACCCTCCGAGAGCGTCAGCACCTGAGGTGAATGCAAATCAAATGCAGAAGCTGCTTAATACAGCCTCTTGCCTCAGACTCTCTGCTGTCTGAATGCCATCAGGACTGGAGCCTGAAATACTGTCCTTGTTCAGGGGTCTCCTTGACATCTTGAGACTTTTGTTGCCCTTTGCTTTCTTTCTAGAGTTTGCTTCTTAAATAACGCTTAGTAACAGCATAGTTAGGCTCTTACATGACTAACCTGGAAGTGTTGCCCCTTTTCCTTTGGCATCAGTGTCTAGCACTCCTGGAGGAATTACTGCCTTCCCTGGCAAGATACAAGCGAGGTACAGATGAGATGCACGACTTGTTTGGGGTGTTTGGGGCCCACCTCCACCCGTGCAGCTTTTCTGGGTGCTGAGGCTATGGGCCACTTCAGGATGAGATCAGTTTCCCGATACATGAAGAGGAGCTGCTGCCTCCCTGCAGCTCCTGTGTGTAAGTGGCAGATTCAGCTTTTCCCAGATTGCAGCTGAAGTGATCAGACCTGCAGGAAGGACTGGAATGTGCTTAGATTTGCTTCTGCTGAATTTGGCTTCGATAGTGCTGCACTGGCATTTCTGAGGCTTTTATTGGGGAAAAAAAACAGACAAACAGAATTTGGTGCCTTAAACTTGCATAATCTCCTGCAGAAGTGCTCATGTCCCACAGTTTCAAGCAGTTCCTCCAGCTTGCAAAACATTCTCAGGCCAGGGGGAAGCTCACGGTTATATCCTGTGAACCACAGCTGATGTAAACCAGTCTGCTGACAGTTCTGATGTACTCTCGCAAAGCCCAGAAGTCTTGTACTTTATTTTTGCCTGCTTCCCCTAGCCCCAGCTTTGCTTTCTTTTACCTTAGAAGCACATCAACAGGGAGAATTTGCTGTGCAGAAAACAAGCTTTGAGAAGGCATATCTGTTCATCTCACATCTAATACACTTCACCCTCTAGCAGTTCAGTTACAGACTTAGCCCTCTGCAATGGGGGTGTCTTTGGAAGGAAACAGATGTTACTCTTCTCCTCTTTTACCAAATCATGCCTAGTTTGTACTGAAAATACTAGACTGTAAGTTTGTTCTCACTCTAGTGAAGTCCTGGCTATTTGCCATTGATGATTTTATTCTTTTTCATTCAACAAACTGTTCATCCATGGTGCTCAAGGAGTAGGTTAGTGCACACGGCCTATTTGTTTATAGTCAGTTTGTAACATGCAGAGACACAGACTTTAAGACCTATAGGCAATAGTTACTTTAAAAAAAAAAAAGTATCTTACTATCCTTTGTGTTTGGAAAACTTAATGAAAACCTGTATGAGATCACAAACAAGATAACTGATAGTAGAAGGAGTAGAAAAGAATCAGAGTATATCAAAGGATCTGATAGCTACCTACATTATAAACCAAAGTTTACTAAGTCTTTTGGCCATGTGTTTATAGTGTTTGACACCCAAAAAAATGCCCTTCAGTGCTTCAATGGCTACTAAGTTAAAATTCTAATGACAATAATGCCGATCTTTGTTATCTGAAAAGTATAATGGAATTTGTGGTTTAATTTTACTTACAAACCCATAGTAAAACCAAACTCTGTTTATTAAACTGGATTTCTAGATTGACTCAAATACAGTTGAAGACGTATCTTGTTTATCCACGTATTCTGTAGCGAGTTGAGTCTGAATAGAGAAGAAATCACGGCAGAAGAGATTCATTAGTCTTGGAAAAAACTTTCACATACTAGGCTTCCTCTTTTGGGGGAAGAGTTATGGTGGTTCTCTGAAGTGAGAGTTGTGACTGGAGAGAATCAGTGAGGGTGGGAGTGTAGCTGTGCTCAGATGGTGCCCAAGTAGTGAGCTACACATTGGAGTGGTGCTGACATATATGTGATATTTTCAGAACGGACCCCAGAGAGTCATACCCCTGATTTGCAGCTTCTGTTGTCTGGTTTAGGATTAGTTGGGTTTGCTTCTCGTGTAATTTGTCAGACTACTGTTAGATTAGGCAGGGCTTGTAGCAACCACATTACGTTACCCGACTGTGACTCTGGAGGCCTTCAGACCTCAGCCATTGCTCATGCCTTGCTTGACACAGAGGGAAGTGAGAGTTGAGTTCTGTATGGAGAGGACTTGGAAGAGGCTGGACTTGATGTGCCAGCCATACAATGTCTTTTGGTTAAAGCACAGGAAACCTGACAGCCTACCTGTCACTTCAGTGAGATGTGATAGCTGGCATCCTCGTTCATTTTGAAAGCAGTTCCATGTGCAAATAACACTCCAAAAGCACTGTAAGTAAGCACCTAATCCATTTTTACAGTTTCTGCTTTTTTCATATATTTGATTGTGGAATGATGTGGGCAAACCAAGATGAAACTTTCATGTTGACTGGTCTCTTACTTGAGTGACAGGTAGGGCTTGCAGGGATCCAGGAGTGCTGTGCAACACATTTGATCCTGTGTTCCTGAAGTAAGTGTTGATGTACACACACTACAGCATCCCCACTTGGTCTTTCACTTTCAAGCTCTTTTAACAACAAGGGGAAATTTTACTGGGTTCTCGTAAGCTGTGCTAGGATGGAAGTAGCCCACTAAGGCTTCAGTCTTGCATCCTTCCTTTTTCTTTTTGTCTGCAGCCCGACGCACCAACTTCTAATAAATGGCAGCTCGACAACTGGCTAACCAAGGTGAACCCACCAGTAGTGCCAACAGAGGGTCTCAGTGAAATTGCCCCTGGAGATGGATGTGAGGAGAGCAAGGAGCAGGGGCAGGGCGTCAGCAGCAATTCCTCCCACCGGTGCACTGAGCCAAGGGAGCCTCAGCACAAGAGCTCTGGCCGAGCAGCCATGGCTCCTCAGGATGCTCGTCTTCCGACCAAAGACAACTGCCAGAAGTCTCCTGTGCGCACTGAGGAACCCTTGCCCAGGCAGACTGTGGGTATCAAAAGGCCCAGGAAGGCCCTGGTGCATGAGGGGCCCAAGGGAGGCCTGAAGGTGGAGAATGACCCTGGACCCCTTGAGGGCAGAGACCAGTCTTCCAGAGACAAGCCAAAAGTCAAAACGAAAGGGAAGCCAAAATCCAGTGACAGAAAAGACCCGAAGCCGGCACTGCAAGAGTCCGCTGAGAGCAGAAAGCACAAGAGCTCCCACCAGGCCAATGCCAAACCCTCCTTGGACCCCAAGCTCGTGAGAGAAGTTTTGCCTGGCAGTGCCCAGGAGCATCTTGCTCTCAGCCCCCTTCCTCAAGGCCAAGGCACGACCCCCACCAGGACTAGTGGCCACAGGCCTGCCGTGGTGGCCAGAGAGGACTTGCACAAGGACAAACTTCCCTTGTCTGTCAGTGAGAAGAAGTTGCTCTTGCCAATGAGGGACTCCCCTGTCCCTCAATCCCTCATGGTGAAAATAGATCTTCCTCTTTTGTCAAGAGTCCCCCAGCCCCCTGGGAAAGGCAGCCACCAGAAGAGAGCAGAGACCAAGGAACTCCCTGGTGCAAGGAAGCAGGACCTGGAAAGGAAAACCACAGACACTCCTGACAAGTCCCTTCAAAAGAGGAAGGTGAGAGGTGGAGGTGGAGGTGGGTTTGTACAAGGACCAAGGTGGTGGTTGAAAAACACAAGTGTAGAGTTCGTTTCCGCTTTATAGGTTGGGAGTGGATCCGTTCTGCTCCTTCTCTCAATGTGTTACCCAGCTTCTAAAGGGGATGTGCATCAAAACTGTCCACAGGTGTTTCCTGTTGGTCACAAATCCCCTGCTGAGCAAGTGTAAAGCCCTGTGAGCTAACAGATGCTTTGGTGTTTTAAAACATTTTTGGATTTTTTTTTTTTTAATACTATTTTTCTCAAGAAAACAAACCCCAGCCCTCCTATGCTGGAGGAGCTTCTGGCAGCAGGCTCTGTCAGCGTGTGGCTGGCCAGCTCCCTGGTAGCATTTGTGGGTTTCTCTGGCTTTCAACCCAAGCAGAGCTTTGGAGAGCTGGGGTGCTCCATCCCCCTGCAACCCCTTTCAAAGCAGCACAGTACCTGAAGTGCCTCCCAGACCCTGCAGCCATCTGCGCTACCCATTTACTGTCTGTTGTGGGAGAGCACCTTGCCTGCAGTTTGTGGGGGTGACCGGAGAGCAAACCTACCCAGGCCACCCCCCGTCAGTGCTTTTCTGTTTTGTCCACATGGGCACCTTCTGCTGCCTTTTGTTGTGCAACCTCAGTCTGAGCAGTGTAGTCTTTTCCTGGGTGAAGTAATTTCTTTCCATGAAACAGTCGTGATTGCTTGCTTACATGAATTCTCAAGATGACCCAGTGCTGAGGAATCTGTCAGAGTTGAGAACAGTCAGTGTGAGGTTCATGGTTGGACTGGTTGATCTTCAAGGTCTGGATGATTCTGTGAATTCTGCAGGTGTCACCTGTGTCACTCCTAGGGGTGAGAGCAGCAGCCCTCCAGCTTCTGCTCTTCCATCAGTGCAGATTGTGAACTGAACCAGGGTCACTGATAGTAACACCCATCCCTGAACCCTGCTTTGGATCTCAGCACTTGGATAAATACGCAGCAAATGTCTCTGGTTGTCCCTGGAGCTGCTGTGGTGCCAGCTGCAATGTTAATGTGTCCAGTGAGGGGCTTTCCAGAGACCCCTCTGCAGAGTACTTCATCTGTAAGAGTTGCTTTCCCTTGAGTGACAAGACAGTCCTTTAGCTGAGGTGGCAGCTGCTCACTGGTGGTTTTTGGAAGGCTTCCTCCTGAAGGGGACTCTGAATATCCTTCCAGCCAGCTGGTTCAGCTGCACAGAGTTGGCTGCAGGCTTTATGGTGGGTGGATGTTCCCTGTGGGTGTGCCAGGGCCTGCACACCTTTTTTGGTTCTCCTCACAGAGAAGGTGGCTTAGCAGATGGGGGTGAATACCCATGGTTCCTGCATGGGTTTCACTTAATCTTGTAATTTTCTGAGCTTCTCATAGTTGTGGGGGAGAACTGAGAAGAGCAGGGAAATGGTGAAGAATCTTGAGAGACCCTGGCAGTCCCCCTCTTGCAGAGAAAGGCAGAGAAGGGAGTAAATCTGTCGCTTCTCCAACTTACTTGTTGTCTCAAAGACCCCAGGGAGGAGCTATTTGATGTTAGACATACCTCCCCTTGCAGTCTGAGTGTCTTAATTTCAGTAAAACTCACCTCAGAGCCTTCCTGCCTGTATTATGTCTTGGTGCATCAGTGTCCTTGGAGGCGCTCAGGCTTCATAGTGGCCAGTGAGGTCAGGTCCAGCTGTCAGACATCTTCTGCGGCAATGTGGAGCTCAACCTGAGAAACATTTCCAGGAGATGATCAAGGTGCTGGAGCCTTGCCCTGAGCACACTGCTAGAGGGAGACTCTGTGGCCAGCACAACCCACTGAGCTCCATCATGGTGACATAAACCTGGATGTGCTCTTGGGAGGGAGACAGCAAGGCCTGGAATGCTTCTGACCACCACCAGGTGCACAGTGGGTGATGCTGACTGACCAGTGCAGTTTCTTTTACATTTGCCTAGCGTGCAGGAAATTATTCTGAGGTTTTTCATTCAGATGAGCTGATGATTTGCACATTTTGTATTTTAAGTGGAGTGCAATTATCAAGCATTATTTATTACCTCTGTGCCTTAATGATTCTTGTTCTTCTAGAAGACAATGGTAATGATTTTAACTGACTGTTTAAAATTTCACCTATATCAGATTCTAGTTAATAAAAACAAACTCCCCTGCATGTCTGGGGCAGTTTGAGTGATCTAACTCTCCTGTGAACACAGTTTTTTCCTTCCCTTTGGTAAAGTGTGTCACAAACACAATTGCTTACAGTTTATGGCTTTCCCAAGAGGAATCTGAATACATGTCTGTGTGATTCAGACTGAGGGAGGAAAGTTCATCCAGAACAGATGAAATGCTTATTTTCAGCAACGGAAGTGCCTTAATTTTGATTACTATTAGCAACAAGAGGTTTAGCAGTTCCATCCCTTCACTACAAAATAATTCATCTAAGCAAAAGTAGATAAAATGTCATTTGAGGATACTTGTCAGTGAGCCTGAAATCTAGATCTGCTCTGCTCTGGGTTCCCCTTTTGTTGATTCCGATATCACATTAACCAGAATCGATCAAGCTTAGCTGTGTTGGTCTCTACTTTACATGAACTTTTTTTTTTTTTTTTTCTTCCTGTTAGAGGAAAGCGGAGAAGGAGATTGATAGGAAGAAAATTAAATCAGAAAAAGAAACAAAGTCATTGCAGTCTTCAGATAACAAAGACTCCAATAAACCAAAGTGAGTATACAGTGTTGGTATGGCAGAAAGATGCATAAAACTGAGCCTTTCTTAAAAAGGTTAAGGGAAGAAACTATCTCCTGTCCTTATCCTTGTGAGTTTGCCTCTGACCTAATGTATCTTCTGAAACTTCATCTGCTGCAGATTTCTGTTTACATCTTGGAACCAACCAGACATGGGAATGTAATCGATTTGCCTTTTTATTTGTTGCAGATGTGAAGTGATACTTGGGTGTCACCTGTCTTCCTCTCTCTTCTTAAAGCTGAGGACTATGGTTCTAGTCATCCAAGCGTGAGCTGATGTTTCAGTGGCTGGTCATCCCCCCATACTTGGTTAACGCTCCTGCAAAAGGATTGAATGTTGTGGCATTTGTCCTGACTTCCAACAGCTGAGATGGGGATGGAGACTTTGCCATTTTAAACACCAGCGTCTCTATCCTGCAGCTTACCTTGCTGTTGCTCTGGTCTGTGTATTACATGCAGCATGAACAGATTTTTTGAGCTACAAGAAATTTAATTGCCAGTTGAGCCCATGCTGCTTTTCCTTCTAAGCTGGTAGGCAAGGATTTGCACTGCTCTTTCAGACCAGATGCAAGGAACAAATTTGTGTTTAAAAAAAAGAAAAAAAAAAAATGTTGTTTGTGTTGCAAACAGTGTGGTAGGCAGCCTGCCTGAGGGGATGCAGGAGTCGTTTCCCCTTCTCCAAACTGCAGTGGTGGTGATCTGCCAGCAGGTGATTGCCCGCAGTGATCTGGGAGGTGGCAGCGGTTCTGTGGGCAGTAGCACAAGCTTGTTCTGCACAGTAATTTAGGGGCTTCAGGGGATGGCAGGAGAAATTGTCCTCTGGCTGAAAATGTCCCTGCTCATTGCAGGGGGGTTGGACGAGATGATCTTTAAAGGTCCTTTCCAACCCCAATTATTCTGTGATGCTTGGTAAGACTTGAGAATACAAGTATCATTTATTTCTGCTCTCATGAGAAATAGAACTAGCCTTGCAAAGCTTTTAAAAAGGGAGTTGGACTTAAAAGGTCCCTTCCAACCTAAACCATTCTAGGAGTCAATGAGTTTCTTTAAGGCCTGTGTCTTCCTCATTCTGAGTTCTGCTGCCATCTTTATTTTGGAGAAGTTTGTACCCTCTCTGTGGGAGGCAGCAGAAAGCTTTATCTGGTTCATGACACTTCACATGCGATTAAAGCTCTTAGTCTTTGTAAAGTGAGAAGATGATGTGAACACTCTTTGCACATGGAGAAACTGAGGTGCAGACAAATTGAGTTGCTTGCTCAGGCTCCTGCTGCAAAGAGGTGAAAGAGCTGAAAGTGTGGCCCAGGAGTTGTGACTCTTGCTCCCATGACTGAGCAACCACATCAGAGAGAGTTCTGACAGCCTCTTGGGAAAGGCTGGTGTCTGAAGTGTAGCTGTATGTCCATCAGTTTTGACTGGGTGATTGCTACCAGTTTCTTAATTGGACAGGTGGTGATGAAAGCCACAAGTTGGGTGCTAATGCTGATCCTGTCTGCTCCCTCAGCTGCTTTTGCTGTCACCAGTTATGGGCTTTGAATAGCACTTGCCCCATGGACTGCTGGTGCCCACAGGGTTGGTGCTGGGTGGGACCCATCTTCTCCCAGCTGAGAACAGAGAGGGGTGTGATGGATGTGGCAGAGCTCTGTTTCCTCACCTTGCTGCCGTGCGAGACTGCTGAACTGGGGGGCTGCAGAAGCATGTGGATATGCAGCTCCCCCTTTCTCTAACCAAACCAAGATGCCTCAGGGCCAATAGGCTTTTCCCTCTGACTGGCCCAGATTTGTAGAGGGGTGAAAGGTGCAAAGGCCTGTCCAGGAAAGAGATTTGTATGTGTGGGTGGGTAGGGAGCATTTCCCTTCTCCTCTAAAATCATCTTGTTGTCTTTGTCTCTTGTGTGTGTGACCTAACGGACACACAGCCAGTGTGCCTTTTGAATTGTGACTCTGTCTGGAATTTCAGGTGCCCTTCATGGCCAGGAATTTCTTGTTTATTCCAGCATAGCATTTGCAGTCCTGATAGATCTGCTGAAACTTACCCCATCATCTGCAGACCAGTATACTGACAGCATTTTGACTAGAGTGAATGCTTCCAAGAGCATGTCTCCAAATGGACAGTGTTCTCAAGAGGGGAGGCTCATACCTCAGTCATGGGCTACTGCATTCAATTCCTGCTTGCCTGTGGCTTGAATTGGAGGTACTGACTTGGATTGGTATTATAACGCTGAGGTTTGTGCCCTGGTAGTATGAGTAAACTGCTTTTCTTCAGAGAAAACATTGACATACTCTTAAAGCACTGAGATGGTGGGGCTGACACTTTGTTGGGTGAAGGGCTAATTCAGCTGTGGCAATAACGGAAGGGATTTAATTCTGGGGTTCATTCCTCCCCTTTCCTCATGAAAATGAGCACCCCTTTCAGCTGCATTCTGGCTTTCAGAGTGGGAAGGATAGGATGCATTTCTGGAGAGAGGAGGCTCTGGCTCAGGTCAGGGGGTGCTCTGGACATCAGCTGTACCAGGGTAGTGAAGCTGGGGAGTGTATGTGCAGTGAGTAGGGACTGTACCAACGGAAAAGCAGGTTGTGGAAGAGGGGAGAGTACTGTCCCACGCACAGCAGAATGAAGCAAGATGTGCAGTGTCTCGCTTCAGCCTTCTCATGGGGTGTAACAACTTCCTCCTTTTCAGATGTTTCAGACCGTGAGTTGGGATTCACTGCTCAGTGTTTTCTTGGAAACTCTGAGAAGCTGGATAAAAATGATGTAAATGAGCAGTAGTGAAACAAGGCTTATTGCTGCCAGAGTTCCCTGGTGATCCTAACTTCAGATGATCAGAAATCTGCTATGCCCCTGTATTATTACCTGGGATAGTCTCTGCCATTTAAAAGCACAGCATTTTAAGTATGTCTCACCTGAATCCTCTCAACTTTTGTAAGTGTTGTCTAGTTGAGCAGGCAGGTGTTAGAGGAAAAAATCAGTTTAATTCTGTCAAAGCATGTACAGGATTGGGGGTCATGGCTATCTCTGACCACAGAAGATCTCTTCTACCATAATGGAGTAAGAGAGGCAGTGCTGCAGTTCATTTAGCTTGTTGGGTGATTTGTCCCAGGGATTTTAGTCACTGTAATTACCTCTCTCCCTCTTTCCACTGAAAAGGGGCTGGGTTGGAGGAATGCCTTTTTTACAACATCCTGATATTGTGGTTGTGAGTCTTTACTTCAAGGACAAGTCCTGAGGCTTATTCCTACCAGAAAAGCAGCTGGCTTGTATGTTGTTGGCAGCTGAAGATGTGGTATCTAATACACAAGGAAGTCCCTGAAGTTTCATTTTGCTTTTGTTAGATTCTTTATGTTAACAAGTCATCTCATACTTCCAGAGGAATTGAAACAAAATTGGTACTTGATGTAACTAAGTTGTTAAAAATTCCCTACATCATATGTACACCATATTCATCCTAATTGATGAAATTGCCTCCCATCAGCAGAGCATCAAAAGCTTCACTTGAAACCCAGAAGAAAGATGTCCTGCTACCCCCGCCACTGCCACACATGTCTCCTGCACGTCCTGCACCAAAGTCAACCAAGACAGCCAAAAAGAGACCCAGAAGTGAGAGCGATGAGCTGCCAGCCATGGATAACACTGCCAGGAACAAGAGCAGCCACAAGGATCCTTTGTTGTCCAAGCACAAGAAAGAGGAGAGAAATCACGCTGAACCGTCGAAGGGCATCAAAGTAGGTATCCATTATAACCAGTGGAGTGTTTCCTGCGGTGCGTGGGTGCTGTGTGATTCTCTTCACAAACGTGTTCTGAGGATATTAACAAGGATGGAAGATAAACCAGCCACCAGAGGAAGTTCTCTGAAGCATTTTTTCCCCTTTCATAGCTATCTGTGACCATCTGTTGCTAGCCCAAATGCCTGCGTTGTAACTTCTCTGCTGACTTCCCATCGTCTGCTGAACATGAGCCAGCAGGGTGCCCAGATGGTCAAGAAAGCCAATGGCATCCTGGCTTGTATTAGAAATAGTGTGACCAGCAGAAGTAGGGAGGTGACAGTCCCCCTGTGCTCTGCACTGGTGAGGCCACACCTGGAGTGATGGGCCCAGTTCTGGGCACCTCAATACGAGAGAGATCTCGAGTGGCTGGAGCGAGGTCAGAGGAGGGCAACGAAGCTGGGGAAGGGCCTGGAGAACAAATCCTGTGAGGAGCCAGGGAAGGAGCTGGGGCTGTTCAGTGTGAGGAGGAGGAGGCTGAGGGGAGACCTCATCACTCTCTGCAGCTCCCTGAAAGGACATTGCAGAGAGGTTGGTGCTGGGCTCTTCTCACAGGGGATTAGTGACAGAGCAAGGGGGAATGGCTTTAAACTGCAACAGGGGAGGGTCAGACTGGACATTAGGAAAAAAATTTTCACAGGAGGAGTGGTCAGAGAGTGGAATAGGCTGCCCAGGGAGGGGTGGAGTCCCCATCCCTGGGTGTGTTTAAGGGTCGTTTGGATGAGCTGTGGGGGGATGTGGTGTAGGGGAGAACTTTGTAGAGTCAGGCTGAGGGTTGGACTTGATGATCCCAAGGGTCTTTTCCAACCTGAATGATTCTGTGATTCTATGATCTGTTTTCATTTCACCAGTGAAACATAGTGAAAAGGGGTGACCACATGAAAACCAAAGGCAAGAGAATCATGTTTCTGCTAATAACAGTTTCTGACTAGGCAACTGCAAGTACAGTTTTGGTGCCAAAATAAATGTGTTTACAAAATGAAGGAGTCGGTTGCTTACAAATAAGAAACAAGCAACCTGTGTTTCTGACTGCAGCCTGGGTCTGAATTTTTATAGCTTGCTTACAAAATTGTTAATGATCCTTGCAGCTGGATCTTTGTATTTTTGGATTATGAAATTCAATTACAATGCTGTTTATGGGCAGTGGGTTGTTTGTGGTCTAGGTTGTTGTGATGTGTGTGTGTGTGTTAAACCAGACTGTGCACACTATTAGTTGGCTTCAAACTGCTTGCTTTTTCCTGATAATGTAGTTAATAATGGAGAATCAGCAATTTGTGTGTGGTTAAGCTGGAAATAAGTGTGAATGAATATTACCTGTTCCTGCCTTGGCTATTGGCCATGAAAAATGTGCTGCTTGCAGCCTTACTATTATCTTAGCCATTGTGCAAGGAAAGCTGCTAGTTAATTTCTCTGTGCTTGGGAAAAGGTTGAATGTATTAAGCCTTATTAGCAGTCAGGTAAGAAGCCAAGTTTCCATTTCCGTTATTGGAGGGGGTGCTGGGGAGGAAGGTAAGAAGAGGGGAGAGCCTGGAGAATAGACTACACCTGGGACAAATATTTTCTCTTGAAATTTAGGAAAGCCATGCTTTGGAATTGGTTTAGGCATATCTCTCTAACCAGCTTTATCTCCACTGTGGTTTTCAGGGATCTGCAGGGGATGTCACAAATCCTTTCCCAGTGCCTTCTTTGCCAAACGGTACTTCCAAGCCAAGGAGACCTCAACTCCAGTTTGAAAAGTAGGTTTTTCTTTTACAACCCTTATCTGTACTTTCTGAAGACGCCAGGTGAGGCTGGTCCTACAGCCACCCTGGATGCTGCTTCTTAATAAGCACTTCCTTTGGAAGGGAAGAGAGAGGGAGAGATGTCTGAGAACTGCACTGTACTGCTGTATCATGTCTGGGACTTACCCCCCACCCCCTCTGCTTCCAAGCAAAGGTCTCATGGCAACAGTTCTTGGTTTGAAGGACTCTACTCTGGAAATTAGGTCCTTTTTAAATCAGAGAGGAGGTGTCTCTGGTGCCTGCCTACAAGTGCTGGGTTTTGATTTGTCTGATTCTTGACAAGTGACCAACTCTTCTGTCACAAGGTGCTGGGTGGGCAACTGGCTTTTTTGGGGAGGGCATGACTCTTTACTTGCTCATGTTGGTGCAGAGGCAGCTGTGTGCTATTTGCATGGTGAATAGACTATCCCAGTGCACAGAACTGCGTGTGGTTGAACTTTATCATTGTTTAGTTGTTGATTCAGACCAGTCAACAGGAGGAGCCTTGGTGACCATCTCTCCTGTAAGCAGATAACTTGAATGCAGGCTCTTTTGGTCTGAGATGAATGACTGACACTGCAAAACTTACTGTATGTTTCAATCAAAATATGTCTGTGGGATTGTACTTGAGGAATGATAGGAGATCATATCACTACCATCTTTCCATGGGCCAAAGAAGTAAAACTGGCCTCACAGTAGCCTAACCTCCAGTGGCTTGTTAGTCAAAATGTAAGTTGCCAATGTTATTCTAACACAGATTTTTTTAAGAAAACAATTCATTTTTTCTGTATGTTCAGCTGCTGTGTGTTTCTGAACATTGCAGACAACTCTCATTGACTGTCATCATTTTGTAACAGGCTTACCAAAACAGGATGTTAGGACTCCTAGCATCCTCTAGATATGAAGGTAAAATTGATCATTCTACCCTTTTTCTCCGTTTTCTGTTTTTCTTCTCTGTCCCCAATTCAGACATCATCCAGTGGAATACTACATCGAAGAGGCCAAGAGGCTGAAGCACATAGCCGATGCAATGGTAAGCCTCGTCCTTGTGCTAGAAATGCTCACCAGCTCTTGCATTCAGAGCTGATACCTGCCTGCATGGGATAAGATTCACTGTCTAACATGACTTCCACACTTGGAGTATGTTCGAGTCACCTGTGGGGAGGCTGTCTTTATCTGCTAAGTGTTCAGACGTTTCCCTTGGTTATAAACACATCTAGAGAATGCTCCTGGAGAACAGGATTCAGGGCTGGTGCTGTCTGAGGTCAGCAGGCCTGTTGGCTTTGCAGAACTACCACAAGGTCCTTGGAGGAGAGGTGCAGCAGTTAGTTACAACACAGTTTACTCTGAAATGTCAGGATTCTCACAGTAATTGTGCTGCAGGTGAACCAGACTTGCAAGTCCCCGTTGCAGATGTCACTGGCTTTCTCCGCTCTGGGCAGTTGCATGCGTGGAGGAAAATCTGTTGTTGCTGGTGATGGTTCACTCAGATAATGTACATTTGCCACTTGTCATTTACTTGTGAAATGAAGTGAGGGAATACTGTGGTGGGCAAGCCCCATCTGCCTCTCCTGAGGCAGGCCTCCAAGACCAGATGATAATGTCCAAAACATGTGAAGGTAATAAATTACGCAAGGAGAACATTGAGGGAGAGATACAAATAGCCAGAGCACACAAAACTGATGCCTGGGACCACATTAGGGGTTCTGCCTAGAACCCTTTAACTATCACCCAGAGGCCTGACTTGCCTTTTTTCTTTCTTCAAATCCTGCCTAACAAGGGAAAAAA